CTAGGCCTGCGCGCGCAGCAGCAATGCAAGGAGTGGCACACTACCGTGCTCGCAGGGGCGCACAATCAGCGCCTGCAAGGTTGTTTTCCCGTAGTGTTTTGAGGTTGCTTGTCCGGTTAGGGCTTCACAGTTTTGTTTCTCTCCGGATCCTTGAATCTTGTAGCTTGTGATTCCTAACCCTAAACTAGCCGAATCCTAGAATTACATGAATTCTAATTCCCGAATAAAATTACAAATAATTTAATGAACGAATATAACCTATCCATGGAACCATATAATTAACGATCAAATCCATCATCCTTACATTCATCAACATGAATAAATATAAACATCCATAAATAAATGCAAGTGCCTACCCATCACATACATACAAATTAAATATCACATATTTAATACAATATTGATTATCGCATAATCGAAGCATAAATTAATATAGTCTATAGACTGCTTTGATACCAATTGCTGGTTTTCGAAACGATTTCGGATGCGGAAGTGTGTATCTAGTGGGTTGTGTATAATAAAAAGTTTTCACAAAACTTTAAGATACTCTATAGATTACATTAATTTATAGACGAATAAATTAATCAAATTAATTTATTTACCTAGTGAATGATTAGGTAGATAACTTATGTTCTTTGACTACGAACGTTCCTCACTCCAAGCTAGTTTAGAATACCTGAATCTTTCTCGTCAATTCCTTAAATATAAAAGACGTGTGTGTGGGCGCACCTAAAACAAAACAGGATTACTAAGGCCTCGTTCACTTCGCAGATTCGAGTTTTTAATTCGAGTTGAGATGTGACATTTTCTGAGAATTTTTTACTGTAGCAGAAAAAGTTAGATGTGACATTTTCTAAGAGTTTTTTACTGTAGAAATCTAAAACTGAAAACTCGAATCGGTGAAATGAACGAGGCATAAATAAACACTCAAGTTTTTCACGAATACCAACACATGCACAACGTGGAATTTGGGAGAGAATTTTTCCTTTTCTCACTCTATAAAATTCGGCCACCTATCCTAGAGAGAACAAAAAATTGTGTTCTCCAATTTTCTGCAATCTCCTATTTATAGAGTAGTAGTCAGACTCCCAGAATAAGTTTAAAATTTATCTCCAAGATAAATCTTGATAATTATCTCCCACTTCTAATTGATTTTAGAAACAAAAATTACTTTCTACCTTATCCTATATGGCCGGCCACCACAGGGAGATTCCTCCCTGTGGTAGGCGTAGATAGCAGGTAGGGAAGGAGGCAAAATTCTCCTTTATCCCGCAGTCCAATTTTAACTCAAATTCAAATTCCAATTTAAGTTAAAACTTAAATTTAATTCGAATTTCAATTGGACAACTTAGAGAGCAAACTACTGAATCCTAGAATTCACACTCTGATGGGTGTATACACCATGTGGATACCTCCACATGTGTGTTTCAGAATTTATAATTAATTCTCAATTAATTATCCTTGAGCATTTTTATTTAGAATTCTATAATTCTAAAATTCTTATTTTACTCTTAGTGTCTTGTATGATTACAAGGACGACGTAGGGATTCATGGACCTATAATTATGAGCTCTAATAAAATTAATAATTAATTAAAACTCTTTAATTAATTAATTAATTCTAAAAGTTACTCTACTATATACTTGGAATTGCACTCTCGTAATTATAGATATAAATTCTTATAAACTATGAAGTGTCCATTTGATATAGTCATTACATATAGATAAATCATTCATAAATAATTCATAATTAGAGCTAGGTGAAATGCGTTAACCTCTCTAATTACATATTTATCCTTGAGTATCATTGATTCTCTAATGGATTGTTATTCATAAAACAAATTGATAAATTAAAACTCCTACTAATCCAAGTACCGAATCAACCATCAAGTGAATTATTTATCTACTTCTTTCTCATGAAGGAATGGATTCCATCTTGTATAATAACATTTCCAGCTGCTCACTTCATCATGTCTCCAAAATACAAGAAATATGATTCAACATCTCGAAATCCATACCGAGTAAATTAAAAGACACAAATCCATAAATAAGAGTCTGCTAATAACTCAAGATTAATATCATTCTATATAAAACCATCGGTAGACTTAATTAGAATTTATATACTTAACGAAAATTATCAAAAATTCATATTGTGTTGTATTCCGGTTCCACACAATCTCATTATGCGTAATACACTAATTCAATATCTCACTATATTAACAGTGCGGATAACACAATTCTATTCTAAAATGAGAATGAAATGTATTAGTAATATTTTAATTAAAAATTCTAAACTTTAATTAAATTCATTACTAACATCATTTTGATTATTATCTTTAAATATTATCCTCTCGCATATAACACTTATATATAATATTTAAGATCACATAAATAATTATGAAATTTTCAGTGATATTCATAAAATATTTATTAATATATGTACAAAAAATAATGAATGAACTCTTTTATTAAATAAATAATAAATATATTATTACATCTCATGCTTTTAGGACATTATTTTTAACAAAAGTTGAGATTGAAAGTTTAAGAAATCTATGAGAAATAAAGAGAGAGCACGATAAAGTTGAACCGGAGAAAAAAATGATAGAGGAAAATAAAAGAAAAAAGTAAGAGAATATTAAGGGTGAGAGATTAGGCATCGTTCACTTCGCGAATTCGAGTTGAGATGTGACATTTTGTGAGAACTTTTCACTGCAGCAGAAATAATTAGATGTGATATTTTTTGAGAGCTTTTTACTGTAAAAACTTAAAATTGAAAACTCAAATCGGTAAAATGAACGAGACCGACATGATAGATAAATAAAATTAAAAACGAAGGAAGGGAAAAAAGAAGTGAAGCACGGAAAAAACTGTTAATGCATAATTTGTTAATTATAATGGTAGACAAGCAGAGGAAAAAAAAATGAATAAGAAAAAGTAAAACACAAAAATGATGCAGTTGAAAGAAATTTCAAGCGGTTTTGATGGTAAGAGACTATAATAACAGGAAAGAAAAGGAAAAAGGTAAAAAAAAAATAAGAGCACCGAAATAGTGATGAATAAAAAAAATATAAAACACGAAAACAATAGAGTTAAAATAGAAAACAAAACTAAGCAAATTTAAAAGAAAAAATGAATGAAGCCAAAAAGAAAGAAAGGAAAGAAAAAAGTAAAACACTAAAAGAGAAAAAATAAAAAAGATAAGGCATCATTTGTAAAATACAATAGTAAATAAATAGAGAAAAAAAAAGAACGAGTAAAACATGAAACCATTAAAGTAAAAAAGAAATAAGGATTTAAGTGTTTTAGGGCTCGTTCTTTTAGAGTTTAATTTAAGTATAATTCTTAAGTTAAATTTGAGTTATAACTTGAGTTGAACTTGTGGTCTCGTTCATTTCGTTGATTCGAGTTTAGAATTCGAGTTTTGCTACAGTAAAAAGCTCTCACAAACAGTCACATCTAACTTTTTTGCTACAGTAAAAAGCTCTCACATAAAATCACATCTCAACTCGAATTAAAAATTTGAATTAGCGAACTGAACGGTTTGATATTTGGTTGTGTACATTTGAGTTATGGTTTGAGATAAGAATCTTTTTGAGTTTGTGTTTGAGTGAGTTAAAACTTGAATTTGTATTTAGATAGTATTTTAATAAAAACTCAATGCTGATAAAAAATTTTAATAGGGTATATGGGTCGGGTTTTATTCGTCTTTTCGTTATCAACGCATAGGAAAAAAATCATCTCAATCAGAATTAAAACGAAAAAGTTATAGCATTTTTAAGAATAGAAAAAATACTGTTAATTAATTTGAGTTCGAGTTTCTAAACTCGAGTTGAAGGTCCGGCCTCGTTCGTTTCGCTGATTCGAGTTTAGAATTCAAGTTGAGATGTGATTGTATGTGAGAGCTTTTTACTGTAACAAAAAAGTTAGATGTGATTGTTTATGATAGCTTTTTACTGTAACAAAACTCGAATTTTAAACTTGAATCAGCAAAATGAACGAGACAACTCGAGTTTTAGTTTTAAACTCGAGTTTAAACTCAAATTTAAACTCGAGTTTAAACTTAAAAAAATATGAATTCGAATAAAATTATAACTCAGTTATATTTTTTAAAATTTTTCGCTCAAAAAATGAGCTTTAACTTTTAAGGATAAGAAATTAGAGTAGATAAATGGATAAAAAAAGGTGAAAGAAATATAAAGTAAAACAAAGAAAAAGAAAGAAAGAAAAAAAGGGGTACAAAACAATATAAAAGGAAAAAAAAAAAGGTAAAAGGTTAAGGGGAAAAAAAAAAAAAGCCCAACCGCACCAAAACGTGCGGTTTGGACGACGGAGTGAACAGGAGCTTCTTTTCTACTCTTTTATTACAGTAGCAGTGTTAGGAGTTAGGATTTATTATAGTTAGGAAATTCTGCAATTTTCTCTCTGTCTCTCTCTGTTTTTTGTTTTTTTTTTTCAATCGAGAAAGTTGAACATTTTCCAACTTTCCATCCATTATCCACTGGAAAAAAGAAAAGAAAAAAGAGTCCTCACTTTCAGTCCTTGGAGACTTCTTTGACCCTGGCAATGACACGTGTAAGAAACCCATTCAAATATCTGCCACCTCATCACTCTCTCCAACCCCAGATATTTCCCACGTCGACCGCCAAAACTTCGCCTCCTTCCAAAATTCCCTCACCGCTCACACTTTCCCAAATATACCCTCCATTCACACCCCAAATTTCCTTCAAAATAGCCGTGTGACTCAAGTAATTTTTCAATAATCTAGCCCCGGTTTGGTAACTCAATCACTTTACCCGCGTTTATAATGAAATCAAAAGAATCCCAAATATACCCTCCATTCACACCCCAAATTTCCTTCAAAATAGCCGTATGACTCAAGTAATTTTTCAATAATCTAGCCCCGGTTTGGTAACTCAAGCACTTTACCCGCGTTTATAATGAAATCAAAAGAACTCTCCAGAAGACTCCCGATATTTTCCTTCTCTTTCCTGCCACTTCTCAGATTTTCCTCAATTTTCCCGAACTTTCTTTCCAATTCATATATATAAGAATCTCAAATATCTCTCTCTGAAATCAAACCCGAGTTCTGAAATATCAAAGCTCAATTAACACACACTTACTACTATTTTCAACTTTTTTGTTTCACTGTAAATTTTCGAGCTTTTCTAAAGCGCTTATATGGCGACCAAGTCAGAGAAAGCCATAGGCATCGATCTGGGGACGACGTACAGCTGCGTCGGCGCGTGGGTAAATGACCGCGTCGAGATCATCCCGAACGACCAGGGCAACCGCACCACGCCGTCCTACGTGGCGTTTACCGACACCGAGCGGCTGATCGGCGACGCCGCGAAGAACCAGGTCGCTATGAACCCTCAGAACACTGTCTTTGACGCGAAGCGCCTCATCGGCCGGCGATTCTCCGATCCGTCCGTGCAGGCCGATATGAAGCTCTGGCCTTTCAAGGTCATCCCCGGCCCCGGCGGCAAGCCGATGATCGTCGTGACCTACAAGGGAGAAGAGAAGCAATTCTCGCCGGAGGAGATCTCTTCCATGGTTTTGATAAAAATGAGGGAAATCGCCGAGGCGTTCCTCGGTCAGCAGATAAAAAACGCCGTCGTAACGGTTCCGGCCTATTTCAACGACTCGCAGAGACAGGCGACGAAGGACGCCGGAGTGATCGCCGGACTGAACGTGATGCGGATCATCAACGAGCCAACCGCGGCCGCGATTGCTTACGGACTCGACAAGAAGGCGTCGAGAAAGGGAGAACAGACGGTGCTGATCTTCGATCTCGGCGGTGGAACCTTCGACGTCTCGTTGCTGACGATCGAGGAGGGGATTTTCGAGGTCAAGGCCACCGCCGGTGATACGCATCTCGGCGGAGAGGATTTCGACAACAGAATGGTGAATCACTTCGTAGCAGAGTTTCGGAGGAAGCACAAGAAGGATATGAGCGGGAACGCCAGGGCTTTGAGGAGATTAAGAACGGCCTGCGAGAGGGCGAAGAGGGCACTCTCGTCGACGACGCAGACGACAATCGAGATCGACTCTCTCTATGAAGGAATCGATTTCTACGCGACGATCACGAGGGCAAGGTTGGAGGAGTTGTGTATGGATTTGTTCAGGAAATGTATGGAGCCGGTGGAGAAATGCCTAAGGGATGCGAAAATCGACAAGAGCCAAGTCGATGAGGTCGTCCTCGTCGGCGGATCGACGAGAATCCCCAAAGTTCAGCAACTTCTGCAGGATTTCTTCAACGGCAAGGAGCTCTGCAAGAGCATCAATCCCGACGAGGCCGTCGCGTACGGTGCCGCCGTCCAGGCGGCAATTCTCAGCGGCGAAGGGAACGAGAAGGTCCAGGATCTCCTCTTGCTCGATGTGACTCCTCTCAGCCTCGGGCTCGAAACCGCCGGCGGAGTAATGACGGTGCTGATTCCTCGCAACACGACGATTCCGACGAAGAAGGAGCAGATTTTCTCGACCTACTCGGACAATCAACCCGGAGTTTTAATCCAAGTCTACGAAGGCGAGCGCGCGAGGACGAAGGACAATAATTTGTTGGGGAAATTCGAGCTCACCGGAATCCCGCCGGCGCCGAGAGGCGTCCCGCAGGTTAACGTCATGTTCGACATCGACGCGAACGGGATTCTGAACGTGACGGCGGAGGACAAGACGGCGGGTGTGAAGAACAAGATTACGATCACGAACGACAAGGGGAGGCTGAGCAAGGAGGACATTGAGAAGATGGTGAAGGACGCGGAGCGGTACAAGGCGGAGGACGAGGAGGTGAAGAAGAAAGTGGAAGCGAAGAATTCGCTGGAGAATTACGCCTACAATATGCGGAACACGGTGAGGGACGAGAAGTTCGCCGGGAAGTTGAGACCGGAGGACAAGGAGAAGATCGAAAAGGCGGTGGACGAGACAATAGAGTGGCTGGAGAGGAACCAGTTGGCGGAGGTGGACGAACTTGAGGACAAGGTTAAGGAGTTGGAGAGTGTTTGTAATCCGATAATTGCGAAGATGTACCAGAGTAGTGGTGCTGGTGGGGATGTGCCGATGGGTGATGACTATGGCGGCGGCGCTGGTGGTGGTGGCTCCGGCGCGTCGGGAGCTGGGCCCAAGATTGAGGAGGTTGATTAGTTTTTTTTTTGTGTGGTTAGTGTCGTTTTTGGGGAGACTAGAAAGTGGCTTCTTTTGTTGTTGTCGTTTTGGTTTAGTCGTAAATCGTAATAGCTGCCTTGAGCGAATAATATGGGTTTGCATGTATTTGCGTTTTCTTTCTTTTTTGTTTTCTGGTGTTTATTTTTTTCTCTTTCACTAAAATGTATGTACAGTTTAGAGGTAGGCATGTAATGGAAGTTCCCAAAGCTGTTCAAATATAATCTCCTTTTGTGCAGGAAATCTGGTTAAGTTTTGTGATCAATCATTATCAGAGAACCACTGTAAAGCACAAACTAGTTTTGAGGGGGGTTGAACTTGAGGGAGACAGGAGACAAGACTCTTTGTCTTTTTATTGTCGTTTTTGCGTCCTTCTTAAACCGCTTGAGATATGTACTGACTGTAACGCTGCTTGGTTTAACCTTTAAGCTTGTAATATCCATATATTTTTTCTTTTGGACTTAAATGTATACAAAAATCCTGTTCTAATATAAGTTCTTTCAAGTTGTTTAGACACTTTATTAGCAGAGAAGCATTGTAAATATTGAAATCTATATGACTTGCAAAGAACCAACATGATTTGCTAGCTTAACTTTTGAAACTAGACTTTGATTTTTGGGTCCGAAAATCTCAAGTGGAAATCGAAAAAAATTTGGAATTAAGAAGGAAACAAGTCTCATGCCTCCTGCCTATTGGAAATCAGTGTGGTTGATGTACTCTTTTCTCAGTTGGGCCAATTGAGGCCCATTTACTTATATAGGCCCTCTACCCAATATGACTACTCTCTCTCTCTCACTTCCTCATTGTCTCAAAATTTGTGGATAAGAAGAAATTTTGCAATAATGCGCCAAACTCTCCGGCACTACACTCGTTAGTAGTAGAGCTCTCCCAACACCATGGCTGGTATCACCACCAGCTGCTCACTAAAACCGGTGCCATGCCGTAAAACGACGCCGTCTCCGCTCACTCTCTCCTCCTCCGACTCCAAATTCTTCAGTTTCCGTGTACGTGACCCTAACTTCAACTCTCTCGTCTCTCTCTCCTCGACTCTCGCCACCACTCCAATCAACTCCCGCTACGGAGGCGGCGGCGGCGGCGGCTCTCGGTACTCCGGCCCTGACTCGCGGCGGTCACGGCAGAGCGACTCCGAAGACGAACAGGCTCTTGATTTATCCACTATCAGGTTAATCAAATTCAATTGATTTGTTATTATCGTTTTTCTTCTCTCTGAGATGATGAAAAATTGAAATTGAAGCGTGGTTCCGTGGTGGATGATTTGAAATAGGTCAGATTCCGTCAGGCTTATCGATGAGCAGCAGAATATGGTTAGTCTTTGTGTGTGTGTTTATATATATATATGTGTATGTATATATTTCCGCTTGTAATTTGGGAATGAGTAAAATTTTGTTTATGTTAATGTAGGTAGGAGTAGTGTCTAAAGCTGAGGCTCTTCGGATGGCAGAGGGTGTTGAGCTTGATCTTGTACGTACTTCTGCTTCCTCTTAAACTAGATGTTTTCTCGCTTTCGAGTTCCAATAGTTCAATTTGCAGCTTTTAGCTTAAGAATTTGGAAGTTGGCAAATGGACTGTTGCGAATTCAGTATCGTTTTTCTTCTTGTTTGATTTTGGCTTGATTGCGCCTTTTTTTTTTTTTCTTTATTGTTTACCAAGTTGTCAATGGACTGTTATGTTAATTAATTTTTTTTTTCTTTGTGCGAACCTTTGAGTTTGGGATTGTTGGAGAATCATATGCAATGAAAATGAAATAAATGCATGCTCACATGCTTAGCTTTGCGGTAATTCACAATCAATGAGAAAAGAAAGGGCAGTGTTTTCCTTTCCTACCTATGTACAAAATCAGAAATGATAATTTAGTGAGACCCATGTAATGTTGGGAATTGGAAATGCCAATCCTAATTCCCCTAGTATTGATCACTGGTTAATTGGAGTGCCATATACTTATATGTCCTTATCAAGATTCAAGCCATTGATTTTTTAGTTATGCACAAGGACATCTTAGGGGCTGTTCTTTTGCCGTTTTTGAGTTAGGTGATTTGAGTGTAGATTTTGAGTTGAGTTTGAGTTATAACTTGAGTTGAAGTTATAACTTGAGTTTGTATTTGGTTGTGTACATTTGAGTTATGGTTTGAGATAATGATCTTTTTGAGTTTGTGTTTGAGTGAATCAAAACTTGAATTTGTATTTAGATAGTATTTTAATAAAAACTCAATGCTGATGAAAAATTTTAATAGGGTATATGGGTGGGATTTTATTCGTCTTTTCGTTGTCAACGCATAGAAAAAAAATTCATCTCAATTAGAATTAAAACGAAAAAGTTATAGCATTTTTAATAATAGAAAAAATACTGTTTATTAATTTGAGTTTGAGTTTTTGAACTCGAATTGAAGGGGAAACTTGAACTCGAGTTTTAGTCCCAAACTCGAGTTCAAACTCGAGTTCAAACTTAAAAAAACATGAACTCGAATAAAGTTGTAACCCGAGTTGCTTTTTTTGAGTATTTAACTCAAAAATGGGGCTGCCGAATAGCCCCTTAGTAATTAAAGTGATAAGATTACTATTCCTTAGTTTAGTGAACACTAAATTGGGGATGGATTGTCTTCGATACCCCCACTTCCTAATAGATAGGTAAACCTGAAAAGGAAATCAATAATCCCCATTTTTATTCTTTTCCTTTACTTTGCAAACCCATTACTTTTCCAGGTTTTACTAGTACATTTCATTACGGTTTGGCAAACATGCCCTCAACGTTAGGTTCAAATATGATGCCTTCATCTCTAAATCGAAAAAACATCAAGAAACAAAAATGCACCCACTAACTTTATAACGCTATTGATTTCCTAAGGGAATGGGAAAACTGCAGTTGGATATTGACTACCACGATAAGATTGCGTTTGCTCTCCAATATTAGCCTTTATTTGGTCTTGGCATCATTTTCCTCTAGGCAAGTTTGTGATCCCTTATGAACATTCGTTATGGATAACATGTCCTAGGTTATTGCTCTACAGTTTTGAGTTTGGACATCTAGCAAATCTGTGGTTTACGTGTATTGTAAGTTTGACAGCATCGTTGAGGCTTACACTTAACATGTTCAATATTATCCTTTATTGTAAAAGGCGGAAGCATTCACCTTCTGCTTCTTATGGAGTATTGGAGTTAAGTATGATTTAGTTCCTTTTTTATTTGTAGACATTTATTCCTTTCTCAATGTTGCAGGTTATATTATCACCGGATGCAGATCCCCCAGTTGTCAGAATAATGGATTACAAGTATAAGTGCTTTCCCCCCCTCCCATTTACAAACGTTATTTGCTTATAGTGCATGTCTATATCTCGGTATAACGATCAACCACTTCACTTTACAATTACATGTCAGTTTCTTTTCTTTTTTTTTTTTTTTTGATAAGAACCGAAAAATTTTATTGAAAGAATAAAGAAACAAAAAGAGTACACAAAAGGGGACAAGACGTCCACCAACAGCCACAAAAGAGAAAAGCAAAACAATAAACAAACCCAGGGCCTAAACATACAAACAGAACCCCAAACTCAGTGCAAAATAATGTCCCAGTGGCCAGCCCCAAGTAAAATCTGAAAATGAGACCCCACTAAAATAGTTCGATTGAGACAACCACAATGCAACCCAATAGATTATCCTATCCCATACATGTCAGTTTCATATATTACATGTCAGTAATGTCAGTTTCTTATGAAAAGGAAAGACAATGGTTGTGTGTTCTGAGCTTGTGGGTGTGGATTTTCATGTTCTATCATCCATGATCCAATTGGTCAATGTATTGAGTGTCCGTTGGTGCGAATTGTTATGTTGTCTCATTCACGTTCTCATTGGTCGATATGTTTGGCAGTAAATCTCGAAATAGAATAATGGATTATCTCTGCTTGTAAAATGTAGACAAGTATAAGTGCTTACACAGAAACACTGTGGTCAATGTATTGAGTGTCCGTTGGTGCGAATTGTTATGTTGTCTCATTCACATTCTCATTGGTCGATATGTTTGGCAGTAAATCTCGAAATAGAACAATGGATTATCTCTGCTTGTAAAATGTAGACAAGTATAAGTGCTTACACAGAAACACTGTGCGGTCTACCTATGAGTAATCAAAGACCTTAATATCTACTCCTTTTATGCTTTTCAGTAAATATAGATATGAACAGCAGAAGAAGAAACGAGGACAACAAAAGAAAAGTGCTGGTGAATATCTTCTTTGTTAAGAGTCTTTGTTTTATGATTCATGCAATGTTCTCAGTTATGGGGAAAGTTACTGACCACATTGTGCTGTTAAATGTCAGCAACTCGCATGGATTTGAAGGAGCTAAAAATGGGGTATAATCCTTGGTTTCTTTGTTTCTTTTCTCTTTGTTATACAAAGCTCTAGTTTAATTTTTAAATATTTTTCTTTGATCTGCTTATTGGTACAGCAACTCGCATGGATTTGAAGGAGCTAAAAATGGGGTATAATCCTTGGTTTCTTTGTTTCTTTTCTCTTTGTTGTACAAAGCTCTAGTTTAATTTTTAAATATTTTTCTTTGATCTGCTTATTGGTGTGTAACACCCTTAATCTAGCTGGTTAATTATAAGCTTTAGTCATATTGCGCTAGATTGGAAAAATGTTAATATTCTAAAATGAAAGGATAGTAGAAAAGTACAAAACAACAGAGTATTTTCATTCAGTATATATATAATGCTGTTATCACCATAAACTTGTAATCTTGAATATCAACAAATTAGGCCATACAAATACTAGTGTTTTAGTGATGCAGCTTGAGTTGCTGCTTACCTTGCCTTCTTTATTTATACAAAAAGGGTGGAGGATAATAAGTGATAAAAGGTTTACTAAACTCGTGGTTTTAAGGATATAAAAAGTTCCTTGTGACATTGCACGCAAACAAAAATGCACATGCGTATTGCAAGAGGTGATTTGTTATTATATAGCTCAAAAGATGTTGCCCCTATAACGAAAGAACTTGTATTGTTGGGTAAAGCGTGTGTTTAGGATTCAGTGCAAAAGCAGGAGGAGGGAGGGGTGGGGGGATGGGTGGGGTGGTATACTGAGTTTGGCTATAAGGCATGTGGTGCTACTCTTTTCCATTGTGCTCTTTTCTTGGTACTACTCTTTTGCATTGTGCTCTTTCCTTTTATTGGTTTATTAACTTCCCTAGATTATTATTTCTTTCAAATTCATGGAACGATGGGATTCTCTTTTCTTTTCTATTGTTTTGCTTAGACATATTTTATATTTCTTCTAATTGCTCAACTCTCTTTTCAGTTACAATATTGACCAGCATGATTATTCTGTGCGTTTGAAATCTGCCCAAAAGTTTTTGAAAGACGGTGACAAGGTTTAGTTTAGTTTTGTTTTTGTTTTTTGTTTTTTGTTTTGCTTTTGTTTTTTATTTTTTAAAAAATTTTGAGCTGTCAACATTTTCCTACTTTTTCTTACTCTTATTGTCTATTGAGATCTTTGTTCAAACTTCTGCAGGTTAAGGTTGTAGTGAACTTGAAAGGTCGTGAAAATGAGTTCCGGAATATTGCTATTGAGCTTATCAAACGTTTCCAGAATGATGTCGGGGAGGTACTTCTATACGTTTGAATTTACTATTAATAACGTCTAGATTGACTTGTTAATTTTGGATAGACTTCTCGAAACCTTAATGTTCATTTGTGCAATTGGCGATCAAATTTATGGACTCGAAAAACCTCTTGGTCCTATAGCGGGAAAAATTTTACTCTCCAACAAAGGGATGATTTAAGTAAACGGAGTTTTGTTATTAGTATACAATATACTTGTATCAACATTTTTCCATGACTTAGTTCAACATCTGCGGTTCATTTCAAGTGCGTGTCAGCTCGGTTTGATACGCTTATATTTTTTTATTTTATTTTATTTTATTTTTGTTTTTATTATTATGTTGTAAATGTTTTGTCAATGCATGCATGAACTTCTGGTTAAATACTACTTTTTGCATGAACTTCGAGCCCCGTTCATTGCTGTTGTTTGCAGCTTGCAACGGAGGAATCCAAAAACTTCAGGGACAGGAACATGTCCATAGTCTTGGTTCCCAACAAGGCTGTTCTACAGAAGGGTCAAGAACCCGCAAAGAAAAAAGATAAGTCAGAAGCAGTAAATGAAGTATCGGCTAGTATCTGAAGGCGCTCGTGCATGTTTGTTAAGAGTAAAAACTGGGCTATTCTATTTGTATTCTTTAACAACGTTGGGGGATATTGGAAGGTTATTTATGTACAGCGCTGGTGTGATACCCGGTTGAGAATATATATTCTCTAGATTTTGATGGAAGCTGTCCTTTCAATTTGAATTATTCCATTATGGACTTTAAGGCCATAGTTGTAAAAAAGAAGTGTTACAGCTTATATTGAAGCAAAATATTTTGTGATCACTGACCGGGCTCAATTAACCAGGACATGCAGAGCTATCATCATAAGCTTATAGTTAAAAGAACATTCTCAAGATATCTACAGTTTTGTGTCACTATCCAGATCTCCCTACAAATTTTTTACACTTCGGTCTGATTTTTATTTTTATTTTTATTTTTATTTTTGGTGACCTTTTCGATGATAAGATGGTTTTTCCTAAACACTTTTGCCGTGTTTGGAATTGTTCTTGTTTTTATTTTTCACGTTTTTCAAGAATAAAAAAATAAAAACGATTTTAAAACGGCGTTTTTGACACAATTAAAGATAAAAAATAGAAATAAAAATGATTTTTTGGTTTAGTGTAAAATGAGAGAAAAATGAAAAATGATTTTTAGTTATTTTTCATTTTTTGTTTTCGTTTTATCCTCTCTCGAGTAGAGAGAAAGAGAAAGATATTAATGGAATTTTTCATACTGAAAATAATCTCTTGATAAAATTATCAAACGTATTTTTAAAAATAATTTCTGTCTGAGATTGAAAACGTTTTAATTTCTATTTGCATACAAAAAATAAAATTATTTTAGGACGAATTCCAAACGCACTCTTTGTTTTTTGTTTTTTTTCCTCCTACTATGCTATGTGGGCGCTCACTCCAGTTTTTTAGCTCACTCCAGTTTTTTAGCTTGTGGCAAACAACCGTGGAAGGTATAACATATGGCAGGAAATCATTGTTTTTACTGCCAACCTCTTCTTACATGTGCTTGTTATAGTTTGCTGGTTATAAGAAGGGAGATTATATATTTATGTTTGTATATATATGTGTGTGTGTGTGTGTTTTACTAGGAGTAGGACAGAAATAGCTGCCTTTAGATGGAGAGTCTTCAACTCACTTACCTAACGACGTGAACTTGGCTTAGCTTCTAAGTTCTTGCAGTTCAAGCATGCCTTTTAATTATTTTTTTGTTTTTGCAGTACACAGAAACTGTTTAACTACTGGAAAATCAGTAACCAATTGGGTTTGTGCTATTTTAAGCAATTTGGTTTGGCAGGCCGTAGACCATCATCAGATGGCTACTTCTGAGACACATCTGATTGTTGCCTATTTCTCTTTGCCTTTTCTTCTATGTAATGTGACCGTGAAGGAATTCTTTCTAGGTTCAGTAGTTGTTGTTATTATATTTTTATTTATTTTTTTTCAAGGACTTTCTAGGTTAAGTTTTAAGACGTCACCGTTTTGGTAAACATGCCACCGTGGAAGAAATTCAAAGGCCAAATTATGTTGAGTCTATTGGGGAATGTCCATCCCTTTCTGTTGATAAATCATGTCTCATAAAAGATACTGCAATGACTAAGACTAGTTGCACTTCATTTGGAGCAGCCCATCTTGAGTTACGGAACAAAACCATGATTGCTTCAAAATTTGCTTAAAAAAAGAACATAATTTTAAGCATTATAAATCAATGGATTCGTTTGGTATGAGAATTCAAATTAAGGTGATTCTAATCATAATTCTAAAATCAGAATTACGATTCATGATTTTGGGTTCAAATTATGAATCAGAATCAGGGATTTGAATAACCTTAAATCAAGAAGATGGGTGGTTTTAGAATCATGATTTGAACTAGTTTAAAACATCACATCAGATTCCGAATCATCCAAACTAAACACTGATTCTGAATCATGATTCAAAACTATAATTCTGGATCCATCTACCAAACGCAGTGGAAAGTACTCGTGCTCACTAAAATGAAACCATTGAAATTACCTTAAATCAAAAACTGCTCTTTTATACAAATTTGACTCATTATAAAAGAATGTTATATTTTTTTTCTCATAAGCATTTTAGTAATTAAGATGAACTTGAACTAAGACAGGTGAAAAGAAAAATGATGGAGTGGTATAATTTAGTTTTGTTGCTGAAAATGGAAATTATGCAGTTAAGTTCTTGATAGTTTATACTCATATAGTTGGCTAGAGTTCTATATATTTCTGAGCATATTTGTAGTCCAACTTTTATTTAGATTACTGAAAATTGCATAATGGATTTATATGATCAGTTGGACCGATTTGCATTTAAAAGAAAAAAGAGAAACTGTGAAGATTTTTGTTGGACTTGTAATTCCGAAAGAATATTATGCAGTTAAGTTCTTGATAGTTTATACTCATATAGTTGGCTAGAGTGCTATATATTTCTGAGCATATTTGTAGTCCAACTTTTATTTAGATTACTGTAAATTGCATAATGGATTTATATGATCAGTTGGACCGATTTGCATTTAAAAGAAAAAAGAGAAACTGTGAAGCTTTTTGTTGGACTTGTAATTCCGAAAGAAATGATCATCCTAGAGTACATGACAATGTTAATTTTTCACTCATGGGCAAAAAAAAGTTTTCCTCATAATTAAACATTCTCAAACCAATCATCGGCAACGCATTTGATTCAGGGTTATCCAAATTTTACGCTATTATTGAATTACTCACCAAAATTCAATTGTCTAAACATATCACCATCAATATGAACACAATAACATACTAATGCGAGACTAACACGTTGCAACAACCTAAAAACACAAAATATCAGCATGAGAAAATGTGTCGCTCTCTCTTTTATTGGCACTTTTAACAAAAATTAGACGAGGAAAAACTAACAGTGAATGGCTGAAACGAAACGCTACCACAAAAATAAATGAAAGATTATTTTTAATCCGAAAAATGGCCTTAAATGCATACAATTATCAATAAATTTACTCGGTAAATATTAAATAATGTATTTATGGTTATTAATTCTCTTAAAACTCTAAAAATTCAGCCATTCTTTTTAATACGTCCCTAAAAGTGGTAAATTCTCTAAATCACCCCATAATTAACAAACAAATGAAAACAAAAAATTGTAAGAAAAACGACATAAAAAACTAAGGTGGTCGTTGAAAAAAGCTGCCGAGAGAGAGAGAGAGAGAGAGAGAGAGAGAAGGTATAGCTGAAGAAAGAATGATCCGTATGCACATGAAGAATAATATGGTAGTTGAAGGAAATAGCTAGCTGAAGCTTAACTTCAAGGCAATGGGGACCTTGCAACCAACTACACCACCCTCCCTGATCTTCTCTTCCTTACGTGGGCTCATTAGGTGACACACCTTCCAAACACCAACAAAACCCTTCTCTCTTATTCCCTAGCCCTTCCGTTCTTAAAGAAACAACTTCCCCCCCTCTCTCTCTCTCTCTCTCTCTCACTCATTCACCCTCTCTCACGTACGTTCTACTCGAATATCGCCGCGCCAATGGAAGCCAGCGCCGGGCTTGTCGCCGGATCTCACAACCGGAATGAACTTGTCGTCATTCATGGCCATGAAGAGGTACTAGTTGTTGTTCTATACTGCTATTTCATCTCTATTCCTCACCATTAGCATTAATATTGAATGAAAAATATGAAAAGTGATCATATAGTATTACGTGACATGGTTTATTCTATTTAATTAGTGACACTACCTAGCTATATTTTTGTTTAAGTTTTTGTACGTAAGTCATGTGTTATTAAAATTATTATTTTTGCATGTGAGACTAATGATAATGAATTAATGTGTTGGTGGGGTAATATTAATTGGTTATATTTTGCTTTTGGTGCAGCCCAAAACGTTGAGGAACTTGGATGGTCAAGTGTGTGAGATATGCGGTGACCAGGTGGGACTGACGGTGGATGGGGAGTTGTTTGTGGCTTGCAATGAATGTGGTTTTCCTGTTTGCCGTCCCTGCTATGAGTATGAGAGAAGAGAAGGCAGCCAAAATTGCCCTCAGTGCAAAACCAGATTCAAGCGTCTCAAAGGTACTACTACTTCATTATACAATCCAAATATATATGTATATGCATGTCTATATCTGCAGTGATAAAATGCTAAATATATATGACCGACCATAATAATAATAATAATAATATGTGATCTTGTCTAATAATATATGTGATTTATAGTCCAATATTAAAAAAAAAATGTTCTGATCATATGAAATACATATATAGCATGCATTTTTATTGTATGTATTTTTGTATGAAAAAAAACACCAAGAAAAGGAAAACCCATTTTGGCTTTTGGCATTAGACCGTGATTATAGATTTAGACATGTAGATTTTATCATCTTTTTTTCCCCCCCTTCTTTTTTGGTGATTGGTAATTTATAAGGGAGTCCAAGGGTGGAAGGAGATGACGATGAAGAAGGTGTCGATGATATTGAGCATGAGTTCAAGGCCATCGAGGATGAGAAGAAAAAGCAAGAGCATGTTGTGGACGCCATGCTTCATGGGAAGATGAGCTATGGAAGAGGCCCTGAAGATGATGAGAATTCTCAATTTCCACCAGTTATTGCTGGTGTAAGAAGCAGACAGGTACTAATTATAATAATTAAAAAAATATATTTATTTTCATTTTACCCCTAATCAAATAGTATTGGTTGAATTTTTATACAAACTTACACTTCTTATAGTCTATATATATATATATATGTATGCATATATAATGATTTTGCATACATGCATGCAGGTGAGCGGTGAGTTCCCATTGGCATCTCATGGTCATGGAGAGCAAGTGTTATCTTCTTCTCTGCACAAGCGAGTTCATCCCTATCCAGTTTCTGAGCCAGGTTTTAAACTTAACCTTTTCTTGCTCTTTTTCCTAATTATTAGAGCAAATGTATGATTAGCTACACTTTTTCAATATCAACAACTGAAATATATAATGAAAATTTAAGGACATGATAGACAAAGACTATTTGACTATGTTAGAAAACCATGTATTCTAAAGCATAAGATGTTAGAATTGTGCGCACACAATGATATATCATTTATCTTCTGTGATCTACTATTCTGAACTCAAGTGGAAAAAAATATTTGCAAATGTAGGAAGTGCAAGATGGGATGAGAAGAAAGAGGGGTGGAAAGATAGAATGGATGATTGGAAAATGCAGCAGGGAAATCTGGGAGCTGATCATGACGACTCAAACGATCCAGACATGGCCTTGTATGTAACAAATAATATATATATATATATATATATATATATATACACGCAATTGTGACAAACATTTTTTTCCTCTAAATGAAGTATTTTCCTTAACTAACAATTACATTGTCATATTTGAACTTATGCAGGATAGACGAAACAAGGCAGCCAATGTCAAGGAAAGTACCACTCCCATCAAGCAAGATCAATCCTTATAGGATGGTGATTATTGCCCGGTTGTTCATCTTGGCCTTGTTTCTCCGATATAGACTTTTGAACCCCGTGCACGAATCGCTTGGTCTCTGGTTAACTTCTGTGATATGTGAAATATGGTTTGCATTTTCATGGATCCTTGATCAGTTCCCCAAATGGTTCCCCATTGATCGAGAGACCTATCTCGATCGTCTCTCACTCAGGTACTAATCAATAGCCAGAAAAAAGAAAAAAGAGAGAACAAAATATCTAAAAATGGATTTTGACAAGGAGGAATAATCAGACTAGCTAGCTCCTCTTTTTTGGGGTCAGAAACAGTGTTTAATGTTTTGAATTTTCTCAACAGTTGATTCGTCTTCTCGCAGTTTCAGTCTCTATTCTGGAATTTTGAAACATGGCTAAATCATTGGTAGCAAAGTGAACCAGATGAATTAAACCCATAATAACATCTTCAACTTGCACTACCAAATTAATGTGTATTCCAACCAAACAGCTTAATTGGATTGCAAAATTTCACAACTTGTCAAATTCCACATCTTCCCAAGAAACTCAAATCTTACAAAATCTGGAGCTAAATATTGTAGGTTATTATATGTAATCCTACATGTATGCTGATCCAATATAAAACCGGTTAATGCAGGTATGAGAGGGAGGGAGAACCAAACATGCTTGCTCCAGTAGATGTCTTTGTCAGTACAGTGGATCCCATGAAGGAACCTCCTCTTGTTACAGCCAACACAGTGCTTTCTATCTTGGCAATGGACTATCCAGTTGATAAGATCTCCTGCTATATTTCTGACGATGGTGCTTCCATGTGCACCTTTGAAGCCTTATCAGAAACCGCAGAATTTGCTCGGAAATGGGTGCCTTTCTGCAAGAAATTCTCGATAGAGCCTCGAGCCCCCGAGATGTACTTTGCTGAAAAGATTGATTACCTCAAGGACAAAGTGCAGCCTACTTTTGTCAAGGAGAGGCGAGCTATGAAGGTTTGTTGTGTTAATCCAATTATCAAAGCCCATGTTTGAATCACTTGCTAGAAACCTTTTGCATAGCTAAGTTGTTGTTTTCTGGTTTCTGGCAGAGAGAGTATGAGGAGTTCAAGGTGAGGATTAATGCCCTTGTGGCCAAAGCGTCAAAGGCCCCTCCGGAAGGGTGGATTATGCAAGACGGAACTCCATGGCCTGGTAACAACACCAGGGATCATCCTGGTATGATTCAGGTGTTTCTTGGTCACAGTGGAGGACTTGACACCGAGGGAAATGAGCTTCCTCGTCTTGTTTACGTCTCTCGTGAGAAAAGGCCTGGTTTTTCACACCACAAGAAAGCCGGTGCCATGAATGCCCTGGTAGAATTTTGAAGCATTCTTTTGTCTTGATGAAAATTCCTTAAAAGCTTTATTGTGTAATCTATCATGGAAACCCCTTTCTCACAGTCTGAAAACATCTTCAGGTTCGTGTCTCTGCAGTGCTTACAAATGCTCCTTTCATGCTGAACTTGGATTGTGACCATTATGTGAACAACAGCAAGGCCGTGCGAGAGGCCATGTGTTTCTTGATGGACCCTCAGATCGGAAAGAAGGTTAGCTATGTTCAGTTCCCGCAAAGATTTGATGGTATTGATAAGAATGACCGATACGCCAACAAGAACTCAGTCTTCTTTGATGTAAGTCACTGCAAGAAACCCACAGCCTTTCATGGTACAATTTTTGTTTGTCTTTTATTCCAAGTAAATAACAATCCAATTGTCTTCCCTCCTATGCTTTGCAGATTAACATGAGGGGTCTAGATGGAATTCAAGGTCCTGTATATGTTGGTACAGGATGTGTTTTCAGAAGGCAAGCCTTGTATGGTTACAATCCTCCAAAGGGTCCTAAGCGTCCGAAGATGGTGAGCTGTGATTGCTGCCCCTGCTTTGGTCGCCGCAAGAAGCTTCCCAAGTATGCCAAGAATGAAGCAAATGGAGAAGGTGCAAGCCTACAAGGTTTGCAGAGATCTTTACCCTATTAATATTTTCCTACTTTAAAAGAGATTCCTATTTAAGTTCGAGTACAAATTTTCTCATCAGTTCACTAAAATTTATATTTGTATTCTATGTAGGAATGGACGATGACAAGGAGCTACTGATGTCCCAGATGAATTTCGAAAAGAGATTTGGACAGTCTGCAATTTTTGTGACTTCAACTCTAATGATAGAAGGTGGTGTCCCTCCTTCCACAAGTCCTGCAGCCCTGCTTAAAGAAGCAATTCATGTTATCAGTTGTGGTTACGAAGACAAAACAGAATGGGGTCTTGAGGTAAAAGTTCAAGAGTCCTTCAAATTATTCTTCTGAATTTTATAGTGCATCTCATACTTTTTATTATCAACTCATGCCAATTGCTATCATATTTTATACACAATTACTTTAACATCTTACACAGAATTACTAACTTCTCTTTCTCCATCAAGATATATAACTGAACTTTCACAATTTTATTAGCAGTATCTATATTATTGCAAATAAGAACAATTTGTTTGTTATAAATTTATCAAGGGCTAGACCGACAATTCATTTTTCTTGCACTCCAACTTATGCAGCTAGGGTGGATCTATGGATCTATCACAGAGGATATTCTTACCGGCTTCAAGATGCACTGCCGTGGTTGGAGGACGATTTACTGTATGCCCAAGAGACCCGCATTTAAGGGTACAGCTCCAATCAATCTCTCCGATCGTCTCAACCAGGTGCTTCGATGGGCTCTAGGTTCCATTGAAATCTTCTTCAGTCACCACAGTCCCCTCTTGTATGGCTACAAGGAAGGGAAGCTCAAGTGGCTCGAGCGATTCGCTTATGTCAACACAACCGTTTATCCCTTCACCTCGCTGCCTCTTCTTGCCTACTGTACCCTCCCTGCAATCTGCTTGCTCACTGATAAATTCATCATGCCACCGGTAATTACACGCGCTCATTCTTTTCATTGAACATACTTTATAAACAAGGAATAATTAGATGCACAGAAATTTCAGGCTAAAGAAGATATTTTAGTCTTTCTGGTCCAACAAATACTCAAAATCTGTAAATATATATTTTTATTTCCTTTCATATACATTTTCCTTCTGGTGGTGAATTTATTCTTTCTTTGTTCATGATCCAGATAAGTACTTTTGCAAGTCTGTTCTTCATTTCTCTGTTCATTTCAATCTTCGCAACTGGTATTCTTGAGCTGAGATGGAGTGGAGTGAGCATTGAAGAATGGTGGAGAAATGAGCAGTTCTGGGTCATTGGTGGTGTGTCAGCTCACTTATTTGCTGTCGTGCAAGGTCTTCTTAAGGTTTTGGCTGGAATTGACACTAACTTTACTGTCACGTCAAAGGCTGTTGACGATGAGGACTTTGGAGAACTATATACCTTTAAATGGACGACCCTCCTAATTCCTCCAACCACTCTCTTAATCATCAACATTGTTGGAGTTGTTGCTGGCATCGCAGATGCCATAAACAATGGATACCAATCATGGGGGCCTCTGTTTGGAAAGCTCTTCTTCGCATTCTGGGTGATTGTCCATCTCTACCCCTTCCTCAAAGGTTTGATGGGACGGCAGAACCGGACACCGACAATAGTTGTCATATGGTCAGTGCTTTTGGCTTCTATATTCTCCTTACTTTGGGTCAGGATTGACCCCTTCGTGATGAAAACCAAGGGCCCTGATGTCAAGCAATGTGGACTAAATTGCTGAAAATTCTTTGTATACGCCTTTTGTCCTCCTTTAGTGTGTGCATCCCCACAAGATACAAGGTCTATTCTTGTTTATGTGAGTATGATGTATAAACCAAAAAAAAGTGCAGATTCTCAAGATTGAATAATATAGAGTGAAAATTTTTGTGTAGCATACATTCAATGTACTCATTTTTGTAAGTGAATTGAAAAAGATGTTGCTTATTATGCTTAACTTCAGATATTCTTCGGTTATTTTTGCACATCTAGTTTGTAATGTCGGATAAAGTGTGAAGTAAAACTGTGCTGGTTCAGTGTTCAAGACCAAAGTACAGAACCTAGATAGATGGATAGATAGAGATAAGAAAGGAATATCCTACAAGATTGAGTTAAGTACAGGTGACATGCATTATACCTGAGGAGTTTTGCTTCCCATATGAAAGAATTGTTCCTCCTTTGTCCTCGTCTGCAGCATTAGCCTCCTATGTATTAACAGAAAATAAATTGAAAAGGAAAAACCATCCACGTGCCAATGGGCTTTCAGAAAACAAAGCTCTAATTTTGAGCTTGGCAAAGAAGGAACAAACTTGTCCGATATGTTTTCTCGAAACAGTATGGATACAGGATAAATAAGCAGCCGCAAAGCATATAACAAGTATGGAGTCGACTATTCCACAATAAATTTACAAAACCAGTTATTCCATTAAAAAAAAAAAAAAGTGTGGAACCAACTAGACAAGTATTGGATGCAAATGCAATGCTTTATCTACATGTTATAAAATGGCACTGGTTTTGCAAATATAAAAAGTGTTTGAGTTCTCCAAATTGCAACATCCAACAACCTCTTTGACAAAATAATTACCAAATAACTTCAACATTATAAACAAAGAAAAAAGTGTAAAAGCATAACTCAATAGACAAATATACCACAATATCCTGACAAACCCTTGCCTTGTGTTTGGTTGAGCGGAAAATGGAAAGGAAAGAAATTAAAGGAAAGATTTTGGAGAGGAAAATGGAATCTTGGGTTGTTTGGTAGAGAGGAAATGAGGAAGAAGGGAGATGGAAATCCATGGGGCACACCAGTTTTTAATCCTTCCAACTTTGGAAAGAAAAGGGAAGGGGAAAATTTTGACAAACAAATGAGGTGTAAAATAACTATTTTAACCTTAATCATTCACCATATTTTTATTTGTATGGGGGTGTTATTGTAGAATGCACTAGATTTGACATTTTCTTTTCACTTTTCAAAGATCAAGATGAATTTGAATATACATGAAAAAAGGAGCATAATGCTAAAAGCTTTTCCCATAAGCATAATAGATGAGTAAGCTTGGAGAAATAATAGTCTTTATTCTGTCTGCGACAAGGAGTTTAGGCAAAAATGGAACTTACAATATCACGGTACCCCATATGGGGGTGTTATTGTATGGGGGTGTTATTGTAGAATGCACTAGATTTGACATTTTCTTTTCACTTTTCAAAGATCAAGATGAATTTGAATATACATGAAAAAAGGAGCATAATGCTAAAAGCTTTTCCCATAAGCATAATAGATGAGTAAGCTTGGAGATATAATAGTCTTTATTCTGTCTGCGACAAGGAGTTTAGGCAAAAATGGAACTTACAATATCACGGTACCCCATATGAGGACCCAGGTGACATTTGGTTTCATCAGTTTTTGTCAAGAATCTCAATAATGTAAAAATTTTGGTCAAGAATCTTAATAAGGTGTTTGTTGTTCACTATGGGACCAAGTGTCATGCATCTAAGGCCGGGGTGTCCACCTTCAATTGTCACCAAACAAATAGTAGGAGACTGCAAAACTTGCTCCTATACTATTCCCAACATACCTTAATTAGTAAAGAATAGTTGTCTTCACCAATAATCTCCACAAGAACACACACCATCCTTGAAATGGTGGAATCTATTAGCATCCCTGACCACAATAACTCTCTCAGTGACCTTGGATATAAATTTAGTTGCATTATGGCAATCTAAGCAAACCCGGAGATTCTTAACGATCCTGATTTCTGTTCCAGGTTCAGTAGCAATAAGTCCAAAAGCAATGGCCAGTTTCTCGCTATGAACTTTCACCATAAGCTCCTTCTCTTCCTCCTCCACATCATGCAAAGCAGTGACAGTCTCTGTCTGAAATCCAGCCTCCTTCATCTTTCCTGTTAACTTATCCAACATTGTGTAGATTTCAGTTGCTCGAGGATGGCTTCGGTCACTAGCCGTAAAGACATGTGTGGTCTCACCAATCTCAATCAAGGTGCACCCAGGAGTCTTTTCCAGCTTCCTATTTTTCACCAACTGTCGTACCATAGCAGCCTTTGGAAAGTTCCTATCAACTGAATAAATATTAGAGAGTAAGACATAATATCCTGTATTTCCAGGGTCCAACTCAAATATCTTCTCAGAAGCCAGACGTGCTATTCTTGTGTCCTTGTGCGTCATGCAAGCACCAAGCAAAGAGCCCCAAACAACAACACCGGGCTCGATTGGCATTCTCCTTATAAATTCCAAGGCCTGCTCTAACTGTCCAGCTCGGCCGAGGATATCAACCATGGATGCGTAGTGCTCAGGCAATGGTTCAAACCCGTGATCACAAACCATGGACTTGAAAATTTCATCTCCTTCTCTAACCAACCCAGAATGGCTGCAAGCATACAAGATTGAAAGGAAAGTAACACCATTTGGGGCAACCCCAGAATGCAGCATCTCCTTATAGAGTTTAAATGCTTGATGCCCATGACCATGGAGGCCGTATCCCGATATCATTGCATTCCAAGTGACTACACTCTTATTTGTCATCAAGTCAAATAATTCCCGAGCCTCCGTAATGCTCCCACACTTTGCATACATGTCAACCAGAGCAGTCTTCACAAATATGTTACACTCGAGATTTTTGCTCTTAATCAAGCCATGGACCCATTTTCCAAGACTTAAGGTACCAAGTTGAGCACAGGCTGAAAGAATACTCGTAATGGTGATTGGATTTGGACTGAACACAGGTATCATTTCCCTGAAAAGAGAGATTGCAGCCTCTGTTAGCCCATTTTGGGCGTAACCCGAAATCATGGAATTCCAAGATGCCAAACTTCTCTCCGGAGATTCATCAAAAACCTGTCTTGCAGATTCTGTTTCGTTCAGTCTGCAGTAAACAGTCGTTAATGCGGTGGAAACTGAAGGATCCGAGAGAATACCGCACTTCAAACAGAAACTCTGAATGGAGCTTGCAAGTTGCAGATGACCAAAGGGAGAAGATACGGGAATCAACCCAACAATTGTGCTCGAATTTACTTTCTTCCCCGAAGCAAGCAATTCCTTGAAAAGCCTCAACGAAGCCTCCGTGTCATTATTGCAAGTATAGCCAGCAATCATCGCGTTATAGCATATCAAATCTGGATAACTCAACTGCCCGAACAAGAACCTTGCCTTGTCAGTCTCTCCACATTTCGAGTACAACGAAACCAATCCTGTAACCACATAAACATCAGAATCCAACCCCACCTTTATCGCCAAACCATGAATGCCCATCCCCAGTAGCAACTCGCCCAGCTCTGCCACTCCAGGAAGAACAGCCGCCAAAGTTCTCGAATCGAATTTTGTCCCACCTGCAACCATATCCGCCAAGACCCTCACTGAGTCCGAAAAGCAGAAATTCCTCACCAACCCAGATATCATCGTGTTCCACAAAACGGTATCTCTCTCAGGCATTCCATCAAACACCTTCTGCGCAAGCTCAACCTTGGAAAACTTTAAGTACATGTCCACCGCCGCAGACCCGACAAACAAATTCGACGACAACCCATCAACGACCGAATGAGCGTGGAGCAGAATCCCGTACCTGGGGTCCTTAAAACTGGAGGCCGCGGAGACAGCAAACGCATAGGTAAACTCATCAGGGACAAGAGAAGTGTTTATCCTCAAGTGGGTATACAAAGAAATGGCGGAAAAAGGAGATTTGTTGGTGGAGAAGCCCTTGAGGAGGACGTTAAAGAGGAAGAGATCGGGGTTGGGGACGGTGAGGAAGAGGTCACATGCCTGGCGTATGGCCTTGAGGTCGGAGAGCTTGTGGGTGAGCTTGGTGAGGAAGGCGAGGTCGTTTTGGAGGCCGTGGACGATGGCCTGAGCGTGGGTCTGGCTGAGCTCCGGGAGAGTCCCGGCGGTCTTCAGTATGCCCACCAAGAAGTTTCTGCTTCCCGCTCCGCTGATCATCTCATCGGGGACTCTGTTTTCTGGCGGGTCTTTTGCTCATTCATACTCTTTTGTTTGTTCAACCGTTCAAGTAACAAAAATAAGGTTTTTATTTATTTATTATTTTTTTTAACACGGCAAGAATGTAAAGTGGCTATATGAAATTGAAATTTATAGGACAGCTACCGTGTTCGACAACCTTATTTGGGCGTTTGTGATACGTCAAATTATTCACCGTTCAATGGGAATTGAACGGCTCAGATAGTACTTAAAGAGCAACTATAGTAATTTCTTAAGACAAATTATATGTTTCCCTCTAAACTATATGCATTGTCACAAAATATTTTTTAAACTTTAATTTTATCTTCTTTTTTCCTCCAAACTTTAACAATTCTTGTAAATTTTTCCCTTGTTAAATTCTTACTGCTGTTATGTTGTTGGCTATTGTTGATGAACCTCTAAGGTTACTTAGGTCAAATAAATTAAGAGAAAGTTTGTGTAGTAAAAAAAATGACAACTTGTACCGTGTAATTATACTTCAGTGTGACTAAATGAGGATGAACTAATAAAGTAATTGTGTATTAAAAATGGTTGAACGAGGCTCATTATTTTTGTGATACGTGCTATTTTTGTTAAAAATCTTAATATAAGGAGTTTTTTTTTTTTTTTTTGGTTAGTTTTGGCATTTCACATGACATTTTTCATCAAAAATTTAATTGAAAGGGAAAATTGGTAAGAGTTGTTGAAGTTTGTGGGGGTGGAGGTGGGGGTGGAAGAGCTAAAATTAAAGTTTAGGGGCATTTGTAACAAGGCCTATAATTCGAGGAGAAAATTTATAATTTATCCTAATTTCCCACGTCTAACACAAGGGAGAGCATTTAGTTGTAGACTTAGGCTTAGTTTGGTAGTGCTGTGGGTTTTAGAAAAATTACTTTTAGCTGTGCTGAAGGAAGAAGCAGCTGTTACAAGAAGCAACTGAGTGTTTGGTAAACTGTAATTATAATAGCTGTGCTGGTTCCAAAATCAGTATAATAGCGTTTGATAAATTTTAAGGTTGAATTGCTGTGAGTATGTAAAATGACCAAAATAGACATGATATGAAACTTAAATATATATAATTGTTTTTGGTATTTAGAAATACTTGTTTAACTTAAAAAAAAAAAAAATAATGCTATGATTTTGAGTTTTTTAACAATAAATTTATGATAATTAATTCTTTTTTTTTTATTTCTTCATTCACAATATAATTACAACTAAAAGGAGCATTAGTGAGTAATCAATTTGTTGAACAAAAATGTACATTCCATGTTCAAAAACTGGTAGAGGCATGAAAAGAATTAAGTCGTGTTCATTAAACTTGCCGCAATTTGATCTCGTACTTCATCAATTTCCAGTGATAGTAAAGCTTAATTCTCTTCTACATTATTGTCATCTGGTTGATTCTCTTCATAAACGAAATCATCTGGATTATCCTCGACCGTTTGAAAATGTCAATCACACTTATCATGCTTCCTAATGTAGTTATAGAGCGCCATTGATGCAATAACTATTTTCACTTCCTTCGTAAATGAATAATTTGGCATATCTTTCAAAATTTTCTATTTTTTCTTCCAGACACCAAAAGTGCTTTCAATGACATTTCGTCAAGACACTAATATTAGTAGAGTTATTAGTATGCAAACAAGAATTTTGAAACCTTTAAACGAAACAAAATTGGGGTTTAAAGATGTTCAAATAACAAAATATCCGATAAAATAACAAAAAGGGACCAAAAAAGAGGTTTCTACCAAAAAGATCCAAGAATAACCTCACTTTAACTTCTCTTAAAAGCTTGATCATCAAATGACCAAGTTACATAAATAAGTTGGGCCTTGATGCCTTGTATGTGGTCTTCAGCTTCCTAGTTTGTAGCCTGACTTTCTTGTACACCAATAGAAACTTATCTTCGAGTTGTGGAAATGTTTTATGGTCTCTCTCTTGCAAAGCTTGGCATGAACAGTTGCAGTCTTGATCAAGTGTTAAGGTGGGGTTCTGACCAACTCCAATGTCAACTTCTTGTATCATCCCAACATCATTTGCACCATCGCCAATTGCTAAGGTGGTTTTTCCAGTTCCTTTTTTTACTAACCTCGTTACCTGGTAAGAAAAACTTAAATAATCAAAACAAAACCTAACCGTATAGTGCAGTTACCATAATCTACAATCATAAGGATATTACTGACTTATCATTGAAATTCAGAGCAAAGAGACGCATATAGCCTAGTAATTGAAAGAGGAAAAACTGATGAATAACATAGCCAATGTTAAGAAAAGTTGTAATTATTGATAAATACTAATCTTTCTAATCTCTAGATTTAAGTCCAAATCAAGATATGAAGTTCTTAAGAAGCTTTCCAGCCAAGACAAAGGACAAACCATCTGGATGATAATATTTGGCCAAACTTCTGTATGCAACCTTTATCTCCTCCTCATCGGCATCCCTTTCTAATTCTGCATAAGGGAAAAAAAAAGATAATTCATCAAAAATATTGATAGATTGAAGAAATCAAAATAAAAATACATCCTTTTAACCAAACATGAATCAATTGAAATGCCCAGGGAGAGAACATTTCTCAATTTCATATATCAATCACATCATTCCCATGTCTATAACATCTTTCATATTCCATGAATTTTTCCTCCAAATTTTGTGCTTCAGAAGCAAAAACAAGTCACTGGAAAAAGGTTGAAATTTCAATTCAATCACCAAAATTGGTCCACTAAAAGATGTTAAATTCAAATCGAAGAAAACAAAATTACCAAGAGTTTCGTAAGGAGATTTGGGCTCAATCCAATTCGCGGCCTTAACTAAAGTCCTCCTCTGATTCACGCGAAACCAACGCTCAGTTCCATTGGAAGCCGAGGAATCGACGAGCGGAGAGAAGAAAGACGGCAGAGAATAGCGAGGTTTGTTGTTAGGGTTTCGAAAGGAAACAATAGAACGAACTTGGTGTCTGCAACAAATGAAAGAGGAGAAGAACACCCCGTGAGGCTGGGATTTTTTTTGATTCAGTTATTTTGGGAATAATGAAAATTTCATTAATGAAGTTTGTAAATTCCCGCACAATCCACAATCAAAAGCAAAGCAGCAAGTGAGCTGCTTCTCATTCTCCTCCAAATTTTCTCTTGAATTCTCTTAGAATCAGTTTTTAAAGTGTTTATCAAACACAATAAACAATTTTAGTTGAAGAAAAAAATTAATTTTAGCATCCTAAAATCTCTACCAAACTATGTATTGTAATAGTTTTTTTTTTTTTTTTTTTTGATCCCTTATTTGATGTTAGGAGAGAGGGAATATCGACAATAGAAGATTGGCTAATTTGTTCTTTGAATGGGCATTTACTGTATCGCTAGTGTACTAACAATATATATAGAATAAACGTATGACCATCTTGCATGAAGGTTGAATAGTCCTCATTGGCTGGTACCAATAAACTGCTGAATATTTTTGAAGATAATGTTAAACTGATTAAATCCTTGGAAATTATTTTATTTCGTATGTGTAACCCTCTTTGACATAGAATGTAACCTCTAGGGTATATGTAGTTGTATCTCATTTTGGTCTTAGGAGATGTTGGTGCTTTTACATGGAAATCTGAGATCATTTATTCAATGTGTAATATGACAATGCCTCGTTCACTTCACGGATTCGAGTTTTTAATTCGAGCTGAGATGTGACATTTTGTGAGAATTTTTCATTGTAGCAGAAAAAAATTAGATGTGATATTTTCTGAGAACTTTTTACTGTAAAAACTTAAAATTGAAAACTCGAATCGGTGAAATGAACGATACCTTAATAACGCAGTTATTGCAAATAAGTTGCATATCTTGAATAATTTTCTTTTGTATTATCAAATTGGGATGAAGATCAACAATAGAAGTTTTAATTAGTTTTTACACTTGACATGTTAATCTTTATATAACATCTCTCTAGTTTCTTTATTTATTGCTCCTCCATGGATATGTTTGTTATCATAGTCCAAACTTCTTCATGTACATTATATTTCGTTTAAACATTGTATGATCAACCTATATGACATTGAACATTTACTACTTTGTTAAGCATCTTAACAAAATTTTCACATGAATTCACAACAACTTGTAACGCTACAATCAACAACATTCAAAAACAATTATTCCATCTCTTTATTTTTTTTTTTAAAGAATCTTGTTACAATGTCAATTACTAAAGATATAATAGGGTCATATAAATTACACACACAAAATCTCATATGTTATACATGTGAATATATTTAAAATGAGTTACCACGAGAATCAATAATGTCAAGTCATAGATTATTTGAGAATAGTTACCATGTGATAAGTACATGAAAATACACCTTAAACACTGCTTTTGATTGATATAATATTAAAATATTTAAGTTTTAATTAAATAATTCTATTATTTTTATTTGAAATATTTTTAATTAGAATTTGTCTAGTTTTTACTTAATTATTTGCATATAAAAAGCAATGTAAAAAGCTACACAAGAAAAGCCATAAAAGAAATCCTCCAACTGAGCCAACACCGCTTAGACACCAGAGCGCGTCCCATTCATATGCAATCATGAGCGTGTTCCATCCCGGTCTCACGTGGGTCCCACGCCTGCTCAGTCTAGTTGACCGTCCACTCTTTGTGCGTCAGCTGTCCTGCTCTCTGACCCGCGCCAGCACACGCCAACCATTCCAATCGCAACACGTGGTGAGCTGACTCCCTCTTGCCAATTGCATTGCGACATGTGTCTCCTTAATACGCTAAGCCTGAATTTCTTCCCTAAAATCAGAGCAAATTGTCCTATTTTCTCCTCAAATCATATATCTAATTTCTTCTAATTTATGTGTAATTTTATTTTATTTCCTTTTCTTTTGTAATTTTCTATTTTTAATTCTTTATTTCCTTATTTGACAAGCAACCTCTCAACACTATAAATAGGGGGTTAGTCTAAGGTTTTTGAAAGTTTTTAATATTCAATTTTCTGTCGTCTTGCTGTTAGTATCATATTTTCTCTCTAGAACTTGTGAGATTGTTTTGCAAGCTAGGCTAGAGTTTTCTTGGTAAGGTTAGAGATGAACTTTTGTTAGTGACCCAATTTGGGTTTTGATTCCTTGTGCTGTAAAGTTCAATATCTGAATGAATTAAATCTCATATATCTTTCATTTATTTTTGAAAATATTGTGTGCCAATTTTTATATGAGTTCAGTCCCACTTTTCTTATGTAATTCTATCATGCACTATTCTGTTATTCAAATTATTTTATAAATTGTCTTTTACTGCAATATTGTCAAATTAATATATTGTCGATAATAATAATGTTTTCATAGTCAACATAGAGATTTAATTTATTCGATCATTTTATTTTGTAAATCAAAACTTGAATTGGTGAATGAAACATTAGGGATTCTCGATACCTTACCGTTTTCACTACTGAATTTTCTTCACACAAGTCTTCTCTCTTTTTTATTTGCAACAAAGTCTAAAAAAAATTCTTCTTCTTCTTCAATTCACTTGTTAGTTATTTTTCTCTAACGTTCTTATTCTGCTAATTTTTCTTGTTTATTTTGTCACTTCTATGTGGATACGATCGCCCTTTGATACTACAATTGACCGCTTGTGAACAACACTTTTGGACATTAATTACCATGTCATTTGTGCTTATTAAAAAAAAGCTCCTTCTCATTTAATATACACTCTATAAAGACCCTTATACCCCTCAAATAAATAAAATAACCTTATCTTCCCCAGGTTTATAACCTACCCACATGTAAAAAAAAAAAAAAAAACAAAAACCACGCAACCAATAGACAAACGACAATTGCCGCCTCTTTTTTGTACTGTCAGATCACGTGGCAACCGTTTCCAAACCGGCTGCCGGATGCGAGAACACTTCAAAAATTATATTACAATTATTATGATGTATAAGTATTTTTATACTATATAATCAAAAAGTAATTATTTTTAAAATCTTAATTGTTATTTTTTTTAATATTTTAAAACTTTGCTATATTCCAACCTCAAAATTGAAATTTTGTTATATGTCTAAAAGGCTCTTTTTGGGGCGGCTTTGAGTACTTTTGCTCCCAAATATTTTAGGGTTTAACAACTTGCTTTTTAAATTATTAGTTTTGACATTATACCCTCTAAATTTGTTAAACTATTGCGATGTATCTTATTTTTATCTTTTTTTGGTCATTGATTTGGAGCGATTTAGGTTAGGTTTGACTTGAGATTCTAGATATTTTGATTAGAGATAAGCTTTTTCGTCCCACTATCATTGACTTTTCCGTTATTAATTTAATAGGTATTAATAGAATGTGACATATTGCAATAGTTTCACAAATTAGAGGCTAAAATGTCAAAATTAAAAGTTTGTGACAAATTATTAAAATAAAAAAAAATTTCAAAGCAAAGTGCATAGAATCCACTTTTATAAGGGATATTATCAATAACATTCTATTGTTTCCCCTTATATTTTTGTTTAGTGGTTAGGTACATTGTTGTTGATGGTTGATTTGGTACCAGTCTTGTACAAGTGTCTAGGCCTAACAATCTGTGTCCCACGACACTGTTGGGCTCGTTTTGTGGACCTAAACCATACTCGGGGAACCCTCGTGGGCTGTGGTTTGGTGGGCTATGGGTAATCAAGTGAGCCCATTTATCTCTTAACTTTCTTATTAATTTGGATCCCGCTTGGAGGGTTTCCTTAATTAATCAAGTTAAGAGTAAATAGGTGATGGAGTTCTCAACCTTTCCCAAAGCCTTCCTTGTGCGGGAAGCCCAAAATCCCTAGTTAAAGTCTTCTTCTTCAAAGCCCAATCAACCCCAAGTTTCATCTTTTAAAACCTTCCTTACAGCCAAAAGGTCTTTCTTCATCATCTTCTAGCTCAATAAAGGCTTTTCTTACGCCAGATTTCTGTCTCGGAGCTATATTGTGTTTGCCTCCGCGATAGTCCCTGTGCATACCTCTAGATCACTTATTGAAGTTTCGCAGATCAATTTGCGTTAGGTGCTCCGAATGATGGCTGCTCCAGAAATGGCATGAGTCTGACCTGACATGTCTCACGTCGCGATCAGACTTTGGGAAGTGTTTTAATCATCATATATCTTAGAGACTTGTCTCAATCTCCTTCTACTTTGGGCTATTATTGTAATGACTGAGAAAATTCTATACCTTAAATAATACAATTCATGTATTTTTAAGCCAATGATTTTCCTAGAAAATATTATGTTATATTGTGAATGGAGGATTTATGGAATTAATATATGTATTCCTAAATTCTATAGCAGATTTCATGTTAAGTTCATGTTTCGATCAAGTAAATTCGATCGATAAATTCTCGCCGTATTTTAGGGCGGAATAATTTTCAGTACAAGTATAGTTTGAGAATCTTAATTTCAAGAATCTCCAAGCACAGCATGATGTTAGCAGCGTATAAAAAAATGCATTGACATTTTAAAAAAAGAAAAAAATCTTTAATTGTCAGACAGTTAGGTTAAAGTCACAAGATAAATACCCATAGTAGAAGGGTACAATGTGAGTTCGGGAGTTGACACCGTCATAAACAACGTCATTCTCGGAATATAATGTAGAATAGTTAAATTTAGACTTTGTTCAGTCTAGAATTAATTTCAAGACTTGAAACAGTTCGAAATATCAAGCAAGTAAGAATAAAAAACAATATTGAATTATTCAGAAATTAATGTTGGAATGTAAGTAGTAGATTAAATTACGTGAGCTAAATTAATTACCTCTAATCAGTATAAATTTAATCTGTTTACAGGAAATATTTGAGGATAAGATCAAGCACGTAATCTTGTCTTAGTCAGACACTTTATATAGTGAAATTATTAGGGTACTCTCACTTTTTCTCTCTTATTCCCGCTCACTCTCTCTCTCTTCTCTCATGTTTTCTCACAAACCCATCAATGGCCAAATACTCAAGTTGAGATCCCGCCCTCCGTTTTTGCCCCCGCCGGTGTCAATAGAAAGATCTCGACGAGCTGAGTTCAACGACATGCGGCACGACCTCCAACTCCGCCGGAATCAGCTGCAATCGCCGGCGGAAGTTCTGAAAATACTCATTTCTTCCCGTCGTGATATCTCCGCCATCCAACCTCCGATTGAGATGATTTCAGTCCTTATGGACTCAGTGAA